TTTTGTAAATACCGCTATGAGCATGTGAGCTTGTAAACGCCAGAATTGCTATTGGGTGTTTGATTGGTTATTGCATAAGATGGTTTTTAAAATAGATAAAGTGTAAATATGATTTTTAAGTTATATAGTTTGTGTGTTTTTTAAGTCTTTTTTTTGACTTTGAAATCCAAGGAAGTTCCCCTGGGAGTTTAATTATTACAATTTGGTACCTTCTTATTATTGATGGGTTGTTTTTTCCCTTAAAGTTATTTTTTGGCAATTATTTTGAGACCTTTGAAAACTCCATATTATTTTAAAGAATAATTTTTAGGTTTTATTAGAACATTGGTAATAGTGAGTTTTCGATAAACTTCATAACATAGAACATTGGTAATAGTGAGTTTTCGATGAACTTTATAACATAAAACATTGGTAATAGTGAGTTTTCGATGAAATTCATAACATAGATAATTGATGTTTTTTAAAGTTATATTTAAAAAGTTTAGCATCTTTTATTGTTATGTTTTTATCTCTGAAACATTTTATTGCGATTATTTGTTTATTTGTTACCAAAAACTCGTCGATTTTGCACTCAATTGAAGCTTACTACCTGCATCCACTTATCTTCAATGAAGAATTTATGAAGAGTAATTAACTAACTTATAAATTTAAAAAAAAAAAAAATTATTCTCGTGTTACCGAAAATAGGGCATAATTGAATTTTAGTTACCTTTTTCTCATGTAGTAAATTGTAAGTTTCTCATGTAGTAAAAAGTAAGTAGTAAATTGCATGAATGTTTTTGAAAGATCTCAGTGATCTACTAATAAAAACTTTTTGATACAAGTTTAAATTTCAAATTTGTTTTTTGTTGAAAACATAATTTAAAGTAATATAAATATACAATATATTTTGTTATAATTATATATAATAAGATGTAATTTGAATTTATATTTTAAATTAATTATTGAATAATTAATTTGAATTTATATTTTAAATTAATTATTGAATAATAAATAAAGAATAAAAATTAAATATTTATTTATATTATAACTTTCGAACACATAGAAAAACAGTCTGGGATTGGATGGATTAAAAAATGAGGTCCAAATAATAATAAGTAGTCTGAAGTTACTTAATTTGAAACCGAGGTTATTTTGAAACCGAGGTTAATTTGAAACCGAGGTTCAAAACCAAAATCTATAGCAACCTTATTTAATTAATTTAAAAAGAATGTTTTGATTAAACACGTGAATAATATTTCAGGATACCAGTTTTTGTTATGATTATATAATATAGAATAAATTTTAGTGAAGATATACTACAAAAGCAGCAGTTTTTAATTGATATTTTTTGCTATTATGTTTGATTTTTATTTAATAATATTTAAATAATAACATTCTTATAATTTATAAACTTTAAACTTTAGTTCTAAAGTTTTTACAAAAGTTTATGTTTAATAAACTTTATAAGTTTGTATAATTTTGTTTAGAGTTTCTATTGTTTTTAAACTTTAAATTGGAAATGCAAATAAGTTTTGAGTGACTTACAAATAAGTTTTGAGTGGGAAACCCTGTTTTTTTTTTTATTTTTGGATTAAGTTCGGCCATGCATTAACTTTAATGGCAAAACTGAATATTGATGGCAAGATGCTTCCCAGCCTGCATTTGGACTTAAAAAGACGTCTTATGAACGTTTAAAAGACGTCTTTTTTGGACCAAATGCCGGCTGGGTAATGCTGTGTATCTGATAGGATTAGCTCGAAACGATGTACTCCAACAATCACTGGTAAACATTACCAACAACGATTGACGATTGAGCCGAGCAATAAAAGTCAAACGTTTCCAATATACGAAAAGTTGATTTTTTTAGCACAACAACGCTTTGCCACATGTTGGAAAAATTATCAAGAACATTTTAAAGACGCTTCAAAGGAATATTTTACCACACCGCCGTATTTACCAGATATTGTTTTTCCAAATGTTGCAGTTGATGACCCTGGCCAAGCATCAATTCAGATCTTACGAAGAAGCCAAGTGTTGCTTCCGTTCAAAAGATAAGAAATTGTTTTCAAAGCAATATCCCTATGTTGTCTGAAAGACGAGTAAAAGTTGTAGCTAATGGTGGACAATATTTTGAATAAATAATTTGTAAATATTTCTTTGAATATAGTTTCAAAGTTTGAAAAAAAAACTCAAAACTTGTTTGTACCCCTAAATTACTGTTTTACAGTTTTTGTTTCTGTTTTTTTAATCATAGGCGGTTCAGGTGATAGTTTCTCATTAAATTTGTGTAAAAGTGGTTGCATAAATTTATCGAAATTCAAAAACCCATTTACTATAAATTTTATCCTAAAAGTATAAAAATTTAGAAAAATTAAATTTTTTTTTTCTATACGCCGTTTTTCAGATGTGTTACACGCGTTTTTTTTTAAAGATTTTTTTTCAAAGAAATGCTAAATTTTATCCGTTTTAATATTTTTAATAAACCCTACCTCCTAATGAAGCACTTTCTTACAAGAATCTAACAATCGGATTTGTTAACTGAATCGGATTTGTTAACTGAAAAACTGCCATGAAAAGCGATGATAAAAAAAATGGGAGTGAACAATTGTGTATACATTGACTTATACCTTAGCTGTAAATAAATGTAAATTAACGGTAGGCTGACGGTATTTGATTTAACAGGGTGGTCACAGTTTCTCTAGAATCCCCTAAAGTTCTCTTTTTTTCAAAGTTTACATTAAAATTCTTTATTATCCTCTAAGTTAAAAATTCGATAAAATCTCTTCAATTTTTTTTTTTAGGTTAAATTTTTTTTTTTAGGTTAAATTTTTTTTTTTTTTTATTGTACAAAATAATATTGTTTTGATTAGCAGATTTTTATATTAAATACAGTATTTGCATTTTAGACTTTTCTAACAATATTCGAGAGTTAAAGCAAGTTTTCAGTGTAGGAATTTGTTTGAATGTAGTAATTTTTTGTTATGTCTACCATAAAAAAATTATTGTTTAGAAAAGTAGAAATGTCTAAGTATAAAAGTAAATTATAAGACTTGTAACTCATTGAAGTTGAGTTCATATGCTGGTTGAAAGACCAGTTCAAATGCTGGTTGCAAAGATCAATTCCAATGCTGGTTGTAAAGGGATAAAAAGGTTGAAATAAATGCATTTTGTAAAGTTTGTTCAAAGTCCTTCAGCTTTGCAAACAGCGGAATAGAGAATATAAAGCTGTATGCTAAACGAAAGAAACATGTGGCAAGATGCCCATCTGATAGCAGTAAGGCCAATTTTTTTTATTATTGCAGAGGTAATTTGGTCACTGTTCTTCAAAAAGTAAACTGTTTTGTTTTATGTTTCCAGACAGTCAAGTTGCTCTAAATTTCACGTGTGTAAAAACAAAAGGGATTTATATTTTATGTCACGGTGTTCCCCCTTTTGTTAAAGAAACGATGAAAAGATAATTGAACAAAGTCCTGTATTACCCCACCTTATTTGGTGAATCTTTTAACAAAATTTCAAAAAAGTCAAATGAATCTATATGTTCGCTTTTAAGATGACACAGACAAAAGTAAAAACATTGGAGTTTTGAGTTCTTAGGTAAAGCATCAGCTGATGACGTTTTTTCCAAATATAATAATTGTTTAAGTACTTTGGATTGTAGAAAAGTCCTCCAAGACTTTACTACAATTCAAAGAACTTAAACAATTATAAAAAATCCCTTTTTAAATCTAGTAAATGAAAGTAAAAAAGAAGATTTTCTTGAACCTTTAATTAATATTGGTACATATAGTCTCCATACCCTTCATCGTTCTTTCCAAAATGGGGAAGTTACTGACTGGAACATTAAGAAATAACTTTTTTTTGTATATATAGTATTTGATGAGTCTCCTTCTCGCGAGTTGACTATGAATGTCTAACAGCAGCTTCTTCTTTTGACTATTCTTTCAAGTTCTGCGCACACCGATGGATAGAAAATAGTAATGTTGCCAACCTGGAAATGGAAAGCCTGGAAAAAACACCAGTTTCGATTGTTTTGCTAAAGCTGTGAGAGATCCCACCATTCCACTGAAACTTAGATTTTTTGAGGAAATAACAACATTAAAAATTTTTTTAATTGAAATGCAAGAAAGTAAAGTTGGTAGAACTTAAAAAACGAGTTTATTAATCAAATTAAAGAACAAGTTCATTTATGAGTCGTTTTTATTTTTTTATGTAATAAAGTTTCATTTCTTGATGTTAGTATAATGTTAAAAATAACCATTCCTGGTCTGCAAAATACCTATTCCTCGTCTGCAGGTTAAGACGTAAAAGGATATTTTGGTATTTTAATTTGTTAATTCTAAAACATTGTCCATTTTAGACAGTTATGAGAAAAAAGATTTTAAGAGTTTGAACTCGTATACAAATTCAAATATTTACATTTGGTTTTTATCGAATAACTTAAAATGGATATATCTTCCGCTTCCTATAATTTGGTAGACGATAGAGGGCGCAAAGATTTGGTAGACGATAGAGGGCGCAAAGACATTTCAACATTCATGACTCAATATAGCCCAAGTTTGGACAACAATGTTTTAGAAGTTTTATCGATTTATTGTATAAAATCGCTTTAGAAAATCCATGTCATTTAAAACAAAAATAGCATTATTAAAAACTGTCTAAACGACGCAAGTGTGAAAACATGGACACTAAACCTATCGACACTAAACATGGACACTAAAACTATAAAGAAAAAAAAATCCTTTAAAATCCTCTGTTTTCATCCTCTAAATTAGCATAATCTCTTCTAAAATCCTCTAATATCCTCTTTTTCTTATAAAAAATTTATGTGGCCACCCTGTTTAATTATCACGAAAAAGTAAATAAATAAAGAGAATCCAGTTGATACCTACTTTTAAACACATTGTTATTATTTTTTTCTGCGCATCTTATTGTATTTTGTATTCTGTCGTAATAGATCATAAAAATTCATCTATAATTATTTTAGTTACTTAAAGTTTTATTGAGCTTAATATCTTTAGATTCTGAGTACTCAACTTTTAACTCAGATATAGATAACTTTTCCGATGGGTCTCTTATCAGGTAAAATATACTGTTTATACTTTGTTTAATCACTTTTTATTTATTGTTTATATGTTGTAAAGAATGTAAAAATTAAATATTTTCAGTTTATAAATATATATTTTTCAATTCTATTTAACAATAAAAATTATTTTAGCAATGATCAACTGATTCAACCAGGGTCAAGAAAGTATGAATTTATTGCTCGAATATTAGCAGCTACTATTAGAATACATAATGCGATATCATCGTAGATGATGTCATCATAGATTGTTTATAAGAAAGCGTTAGATTTATTGTTTTCTTTGATAAGCAGACTGAGATTTTATCTGAAATGAATTTTTTTTTTCAAAAGTGAAGTTGGAAATAATAAATTGTGTTTTAAAACGACTGTTTATAATTACTATATGTTTTTTAGTAACGGCTGTTTAATTACAGTATAACTTTTAGTTACGGCTGTTTAATTAAAGTATAAATTTTAGTAACGGTTGTTTAATTACAGTATAGGTTTTAGTATCGGCTGTTTAATAATAAGTATAACTTTTTAAATTTTAATTGACTAAAACTTTTAGTAACGACTATTTAAATTTATTGTCAGGTCAGGTTATCTGTTGACCAGCTTCGCACCCCTTTTCATCCATTAACAGTACTCGATATGGGGTGGGATACCATCCCGTCACCTTTTTATAAAGAATAAACCATCCGTAACTTTTTTAAAAATGTCTATATAAAACAATAATTAGGCGGGAAGGTATTTTAATTTACCAAATACCATCCCTTTACTCTTTTTCTCCACTTCAAACACTGTCCATTAAGCTGGTGTAGATGTATTTATAATACATTGTTTCTAGTTTAAGATGTTGAATGCTAGATTTTGACTCATTGCATATGTTTTGTTTGTGTCTCTGTTTTTATGACTAGGCAACTCATTCTATTATCTCCTAATGAGGGTACAGCTCCAAGACTTAGTTTTAATTTTTGAGGCCGACTAGTAGTCAAGTTATCCGAACTCTGTGTTAGCTCTCAGAGAGGTTGATTCCATTTACAGCTGTAAAGTATCCGAGTACTAGCAGTGCCATGTTGCGCATGGATGTTGTCTCTGTTCGTACTTTTGGTTTGCATTGTCGAAGTCGCATTTGGATTCATTAATAGTAATCAGGCTATTGCTTAGACTACTAAAATGTGTACTGAGGACTATCTGTGCTTTGAGTCAAATTCTTTAACAAATTTAAAAATGACTAAAGTACCAAAAACAATAAAACACAAAAAACCATTGTCATCGCCAAATTCTCTAAACCTATCATTCAATAATATTCGTGGTCTTCGAAGTAACTTTTCTTCTATTAAGTTTTATCTCTTGCAAAGTTCACCAGACCTACTTGCTTTTTGTAGGACTACTTTAAGTTCAGTTGTCTTATCTTGTGATCTTACTGTTGATGGCTATCTTTAATTCAAAAATCATCCACTAGTCACATGCTTGACCTGAGCATTTGAATTCGTACGAATTCACCCATTTGTCGGGAACTAGATTTGAATCCACAGACTATTTTTTTACATGCTTTCGTTTAACACTGCTTCACTCTACTACCTTTCTTTTTGTTCTATATTGCTCTCCTTTAACTCAAGGCTGCTATCTTTATTTATGTCATTTCAGATCAAATTGACCGTGTCCTTTTTCTTTATCCTTCAACCAATATTGTTGTTGATTTTGACTTTGATGCTCATCACACTGAATGACTTGGCTCTAGTGTTAGTGACTCTGCAAGCGTTAAGGCTCGCAACTTGTGTCTTTCTCAATTTCTAACACATATCAACTTTCCAGCTGGTTTTCCAGACAATCCGAATTATTTATCTTCGCTACTCGAAGGTAAATAATTCGGATGTCTACTTATGTCTTGTTTCTGATCCTACTCAGTGTTTAGTTTCTCCACATTTATTCTTAGGTACAACTGATCACGGTTTGATCTTTCTAAAACTATTATCTGATTCTTCTTCATCATCTAAACCCCCCTATCATCGTACCTCTTACAACAACCTTATAGCTGACTAGGACTCTTTCCGTAATTTTCTTCGTGATGGCTCTTGGGTAGAAATATTTCGTTTTCCTGCTGACAAAGCAATTCTGTAGAAAAAAGACGTCTGTTTACTATTGCTAGAAACCATTGTAAAAAGGTTTCGTCTAAACCAAAGCCCGCAACTTTCAGGTCACAAAACCGTGTATTTCTTATCGTAAGATAGGTTCCCGAGACTTCTGAAGCATTTTTAACAGTGCCTATAATAAAAGCAAATCTGTTATTTCACCTATCTTGCATGGTTAATTTTGTTATCTCACCTAAAGTTAAATCTGAATTGTCTGCCAAGAGGTTTTTCTCTATCTCATCTCTTGATTCCACTAATTACATCCTATCTAATATAGTTGATAAACAGGTTAATCTATTGCTTGACATTTGTATCACTCCAGCTTTTGTATCTAAAGTGATTTTCTGCATAGTCTCTTCTACAGTTTGTGGTCCTGATAACACATCTGTTATTGTCTTGCAGAAGTGTTCTCCGGAGCTGTCGTCTATACTTTCAAAACGATTTAAATGCTTATCAAAGCGATTTAAATGGTTTAAATGCTTATCAGAGTCTTGTTTTCCAGCCTGCTGGAAAACGACATCTGTTATTTTCCAAAATTTTGGAGAGCGATCTGACAAGGTTAGCTTACGTCCCATAAGTCTTCTTCCATAAGCAAGGTTTTTGAGTCTTTAATTAACAAACACTTAATCTCTCATCTTGAATTTAATAACTTACTTTCTGACCATCGATATGGATATCAATCTTCTTGCTCTGCTTCTAATTTGTTAACGGTAATTTGTTAACTGATACAATAGTGATCAAAAATTTAGACTAATAAAACTTACAGTTTCTTAGTGATTTGTGATTTAAAAAAAAGCCTTTGTTTTTATTATTTTTAGTTTATCTTTAATATGGTTTTTTATTTATGAAATTCTCTTTAATATATGTAATTATCTTTATCTTGCATTATCTTGCTGAAACTTTCATTCCGGCTCATCTCCAAAAAATAAGTCTCTTGTTGGAATCAAATGATTTTTTTTCCACTTAGCTATTGTTTTATGATACATGTGTGATACATGACTGCGATACATTCTTAAGAATCAACTGAGTTTTTTCGTAGAATTACCAGCATGGTACAAGGTAATAATTTTTTTTTTTGATTTCTTTTGAAACTGATGTTTTACCCATTTTCTAAATATCTTAAATGCAAATAATAAGTAAAAATGGTATATTTTCATTAGCGTGCACTAACTAAGTAAATAAGTTAATTTTTAAATGGATTTAAACGTAGTATTTTAGAGAATATATTTTATTCCACGTTAGAATTACAATCTTTAAAAAAATAGGCTGGGAGATTATATGGAAATAAAGATAGAAAAAAGTGAGGTTAAATTTTTATTTGAGACACATTTTAATGTGTTTTTAAATGGCGCTATTATTTAGAAATTATTTGACAACAAGCAAATTTAAATAAATTGTTAAATTTAAAAAAATTGTCTTTAAACATTATCTAAAAAGTTTTTTGAGGGATTATAAGAGCTAAGCTAAAGAAATTTTTTGTCGAGTCTAAATTTTTGCTCACCATTGTAGGTTTTATCATGTATTAAATAGATTTGAAAAAGTTAAGGTTATCGCTCTCTAAATTTCTAAAGCCTTCGGTAAAGTTTGGCATGTTGTACAGTAGGCCAGAATTTTTTTTCCGTGGCCAAAAGTCCCAAAAAAGTCAAATCTTCTAAACTTTTTTTTTATTTCATTATTGAAACAAAGGTGCTTTACTCCACTCAAAAATGTATCCGCTTAATTACAAGAGATGAAGGCAAGCTTGCTAGAACCATTCATAATGGCTATAAAATTGTCAAATTTTTGCAAATTTTTTTTTTTCAAAAATACTTTTCCTTTAATTAAAAAAGTTTTGGACTATTTTTATTTTAAATAAACATATTAACTTAGTGCTTATAAAAAGTATATGTTTTAGTTATATATTTGTATTTAATTTATTCATAATATGTCTTAGAATTGTTTGTATTTTAGAGGTGTTTTTCTAAATTTCCTCATCTTCCTTTTTCTAAATGCCACTCGAAGATCGTTTAATTTTCTGATTTTTGCGTTTACTAAACGGCAGTTATTGTTCAAAAAAAAAAAACCAGCTGCGACCATGTATTCTTTATGATATATTTTTTAGTTCAAAATCGACGACTTTTTTTGCTTTTATAAAAAGACCGATATAAAGTTAAGTTATTTGTTTAAGGAATATAGTTTTTTTTTTTTAATTTTATTAAACACATCGAATCGTTATTATTTAAAATAAATTTTATTTTATTATTTTAATATTTTCAAAAAAGGAAAAAAAAAAAGAAAATCATTTCACTATAAGTGCGTAAAAATCGAATATTTAAGTACTCGACTCCAACCAAATGCCGCTCTCTTGAAATTGGAATGAATGATATTTAGGAAGTATAACGGTTGTTTAATACTATTTAAAAAAATCAGCTACGACTAGCTATAACTTAGACTTAAAATCGATTTTGAAATTTCAAGATTTTAGACTATTTTCATTTTTACTTTACAATGCATTGTGACGAGAAAAAATTTATTTGTCTGAAAATTTGAAGTTTATATGATATTGTATGTTTATATAAAGACTAGTTAGTTGATAATTGTAGCAATTTGATTGCAATTATGTTCCAAAAGTAAAAAAAAATATTTGAATAAATTTACACTAAATTATAGATATTTAAATTTTCTCTTGAAGTAGGATTATTAAAACTCTTATCTTATAAATAATCAAGTTATCTTTTTAAAATGTTTAATAACACAAATCGGCTTGAAGTATTTGAAAAAATTAAAGACACTATTTCATCACAACTTATTTCAAGACAAATCGTAGATCAGTATAATAGTATGCTCATAAACGAATTAAGCGTGTCCATCAATTTAAATGATGATTTTACCTGTTTTGAAAAAGCTCTTCTCAAATTTGTATGCAAATGCCGATCAAAATTTAGCAAAAAATATTTTCGAAATAAGTGCAAATTTTTAAGTGGCGAATCATTTTAGCTTAATAATAAAATTTTGTCTTATTTTTAATAAGCAACCTAGCGAACAATCATCACAAACCGTCGATTCAAATGTTTCTTGTTTAAATGAACAGTCATTTGGAAGACCATGTTAGAAATGCGAAGATATGTCCTAACGAAGTAAACGTCGGCACGCATCCATATTGTTAGTAAATCATGATCATGATAAAATCTTACAAGCAGCAGAAGTGGGGTTAAAAAAAAAGCGATATAGTTTGCTGTATTTATTAAAATGTTTATCAAATACAGATTCGGTAAATGTAAA